AGCCCACGACCCCCCTCCCCCTCCAGACAGACAGGCCCCAGACGCTAGTGTTGCAGATCCCAAACAGCTCAAGATGTCTCGAAGGCGCAGAGAAGACAGCCCAATGCGCTCCCATGAACGAGCATGGAGGGAGGAAGGACGGCGGAGTAAGGAGGAGCAAGCTGAGCATGAGGATGAGGGCGCAGAAGAAGGAATGAAGGGATGGGCAGAGGAGGAGGAGGAGGAGGAGGAGGAGGAGGAGGAGGAGGAGGAGGAGGAGGAGGAGGAGGAGGAGGAGGAGGAGGAGCATGAGCAGGAGGAGATGAGGAGGAGGAGGAGGAGGACGAGGAGGAGGAGGAGGAGGAGGAGGGGAAGGGAGTATGGAGGATTAGGGAGGAGGAGGAGAGGAGGAGGAGGAGGAGGAGGAGGAGGAGAGAGGAGGAGGAGAGGAGGAGGAGGAGGAGGAGGGAGGAGGGAGGAGGAGGAGGAGGAGGAGGGGAGGAGGGAGGGGAGGAGGAGGAGGAGGAGGAGGAGAAGGAGAGGAGGAGGAGGGTGAGGAGGGATGAAGTGGGGGGGAGGATGAGGGAGCATGGAGAAGGACGAGACGGATGCCATGGTGCTGCAAGGGGAGAGGGTGCGATGCACGGGGCGATGGCGCGTCCTCTTGCCTCCGCCAGGCGCAGAAGACGGGCGAGAAAGACAGGGCCGCCTGGGGGCGGCGAGCGTGCGAGGAAGAAGCGCCGAACACTACGTACAATTTCGAAGGTGTGCGTGTGTGAGAGAGAGAGAGAGAGAGAGAGAGAGAGAAAGAAAGAAAGAAAGAAAGAGAGAGAGATAACGAGCTCTGAGAGAACACTCGTGGCTGCAGCGCGCAACACCCGCATCTGGCACACCACGCACTCCTGGATTGGCTACCCTGCGCTGCATCGGCAGTCATGCGCGACACGCTGTCATCACGGTGATTGCAAGTCCAATTCCGAGCACTGATCCTTCAACAAACTACTGAACATGTGCGTGAGGGCTGTCTGCCTCGACATCGACGCGGCCTCGATCGATCTTCGATCGACCTCGATCCTCGATCCTGGATCCTCCGCCTCGATCCTCGATCGACCTCGGTTCTCGGACTCGATTCTCATTCCTCGATCATCGACCCGTCCTCGATCCTCCAACGACCTCTTTCCTCGATCCTCGGTCGATCATCGGTCCTCGATCGATCGACCCCTAACCTTGGGCGTGCGGGGGGGAACGAAAAGATGGGGCGGGGGAAAAGAATTATGGGTTGTGAGACAGATGGAAAAATGGTGCGGGGGGAAACGGAAAGAGGGCGGGTGGACAGAACAAGGGTGTGTAAGTGGCCAGAAAAAAGGGGGGGTGGAGGATCGGGAACGGTTTGTGGGGGACGGTGGAAGGCTGTGTGGGGGGAGGGAAACAAGAAGGGGAGCACTGGGGGAGGGAAACGGCGGCAACGAGGTTGAACAACAAATCAAAACCAAGAGGTTGAGAACACTGGAGGTTGAGCAAACCCGAAACCAAAAAACGAGGCCGAACACCACAGGTTGAACAACACCCAGGCTGCAACACATCAAAGCGAGGCCTTCACAAAAAGTCCGAGGCTGAACAAAAAACATAGGTTGAACCGAGGCTGAAACAACTTCAGGATGAACCACAAAATCTCGCCCTCGAACCATCGACGGACGACACACACACACACACCCGTCCAAGACGGCCGGGGCCTCGGCCGCCGGCTTGGGCGCCGCGTCGCAGCGCCGCCCAAGGCGCCCTCGTCGTCGCCTCGGGCGGATCGTCGCGCGCCGCTGGGCCGCCCTTCACCGGGCGGCCGAGTGGACCCTATAGTCATCGTGCTCCCATGAGGGACAAGGAACGAAGGTGCTTTTCTGGCCACAGCGAACCTCGGTCATGAATAGGTTCCCCGACCTAGATCTAGGGAACGGCCCGAGAACCACACTCCGTCCTGGGCCCAAAGTTAGGGAGCCCACAAAGGACGTACGCGCCCAGCTATGTACATGAACACGGCCCCTCGATTCGCGAGACCGGCCGCGTGATACGAACATTTGTGCAATGCGTGCTCTCGAAAACAGCGTGGATTCATGTACATGTACGTCCTTCTTTCGCTCCTGAAAAGTGGTCCTTGTTTCAGCGTCTTGGCTGAGCGGCAAGTTCGTGTCATGCCGACTGCGGCGTTGGCTCCTGACACCGCGGGGATTGTTCAACCTTGAACTATCGGCCGTCGCCGAAACGTCAGATCGTTCAACATCGACCGATTCTGGGTCGCTGGCGGCGTTCCACATTGAACGCCGGCGGCGGGGTCTCTGCCAGTCGACACGACGCGAACCTGCCGTACCCCCTACGGTCGACCCATATCAGAAGGACGCGCGATAAGGATGCAAGGGTACCCTTGGGAACACAGGCTTCGGAGCAAAAATAGCGAACACTCATGCCACATTCATCTGTGAACGCCTCGCCCTGCCCCCAATGTTCAAAGTTGGCGGTGGGTCTGATGAGCTGCACCTCGGCCGCAGTCTCCCCCGCGCGTGCCGACTTTGAGCTTGGGGGGCAGGGGGGGGGTCACGAATTGCTTCCCTCTACCGCGCTGCAAGGGTACCCTGTGGGAACCTTGCCCATCCTTCCTGTGCGCAGGCTCTGGGACCACAAGGGCTGCCACCCCAACCTTCACGAGCACCGCTTCAGGATGGGAGAGCCCATGTGCCCCATCCGACTGACAGGTTCATGCCTAATGCAGAATGACGATTAATAAAAGAAATAGGAGAGAACGATTAAAACGATTAAAAGAACAATTTTCCAGCCCGCGGCCGGTTTTTTCGAATCGTCATCCCGGGCGCCGCCGCGTGAACACAACCCCCGGTCATTTACTAATCGTCATCCTCCATTACCCTCGAGGCCATCGGCGCTGCACTGCGATCCTGTGCGGGGCGGACTGTGCCTCCGCGGCTCCGACCCCTGCGGTCGGCACCTGCGCGAGGCGGTGACCCCCCCCCCGCCGACGGGGAGTCGGCCTCACGGCGCGCGGCGGCCGTCCGCGACGGGTGCCGATTCGGATCGGGGGCAATCGCTGTGACGACTGCTACAACATCGGAATGCGACTACTGCTGCGGAGAGTTCGCTACGGCAGGTTCGTGTCGTGCCGACCCCAGCGTTGGTTTTTGACACCGCCGGGATCGTTCAACCTTGAACGATCGGCCGCTGCCGCAACGTCCGATCGTTCAACATCGATCGATTCCGGGTCGCCGGCGGCGTTCAACCTTGAACGCCCGCGCTGGGGTCGCCGCTGGTCGACACGACGCAAACCTACCGTACGAATACCCCGGCTACCTGTGTCATGATGCGACTGACTCGGGAGGACACGTTCCAGGAGCTCTGGAGCATCTAGCGGCCCTCCCTCCTGCGGACCCTGGTGGAACGTCAGGGGATCGGGGACATCGGGTGGATCTCGGAACGCATCATTATCATGCCCTCAACCTCTTCCTTCACCTTCTCACCTCTCCTTAACCTTCTCACGCGGGAAAGGAGCGGAGACTCTTCGGGGTATCACTTGCGTCGAGATGCTCGAGGATCACCAACAAAAACCAATGGAAAGACCCGAATCCCATTGAGCTCCTTCCAAGCCAAAGTGCACCCGACCCGACTCTCTAGTTTTGGCTGCATCCCTCCCAAGCATAACAGCAACACGCAAGCAATTATATGATAGTAGGTGCTACTCCATGCCGACGGCGGTTTCTATTTGTTGTGTGTTCTCTGGTTGTCATGGCAATATCGCGCTACCCAGGCAGTTGTAGCACAGCATGTTCACACAATCCTCAAGTGACGTGGGCACCCATCACTTGAAGTCGAGTTCGATGTCATACAGAGCCTGGCCGTAATCTTCGTTTTTGTGATCTCCATGGTACCCCTCCCCCCGCCCTCCCTTGCTCCCCCCCCCTTTGGCGGATGTGCGCGCACCCCGCCCGCTTACGTGTTTGACGTGCTTAACGCGGCGGTTTTCTCCCCCCTGGTCCTCCTCATTCTCACCTTCCTCCTCCTCCTCCTATTTCTCCCCCCTTGCCTCTTCCTCCTCCTCCTCCTCCTCCTTCTCCTCCTCCTCCTCCTTGTGCTCCTCCTCCTCCTCCTCCTCCTCCTCCTCCTCCACCTCACGTTACCTTTTCCCGTCCTCCTTCCCCTTCCCCTGCCTCTGCCCCTCCTCCTCCCCATCTTCTGCTTCTTGCCCCTCAACCTCCTCCTCCTCCTCCTCCTCTTCCTATTATTCTTGCTCCTCGTCCTCATATCTCGCCTTCCCTGCCGGCTGTACTACATGTTGTGCCCTGTCGCGGGCCCCTGGGCGGTCCTGGCCCTTCTGGTCGGGCGCTGACGAAAAAACGGTGGAAGAGGACGCCACCACAACTGTGCGCGTGCAGCCAGGCTGTGTCGGAATTTCCTTGTGCGCCTGGCCCCGGAAGGGTACTCGCTTCAAAGATAAGCGGGGGCCGGGGCTGCGGACGCGCATGGGGAAGGAGAACATGAAGGAGGGAAAAAGAAAAGGATTAGGATGATGGTGAGGATGAGGATGAGGATGAGGATGAGGATGAGGATGAGGATGATGCTGATGCTGATGCTGATGCTGATGCTGATGCTGATGATGATGATGATGATGATGATGATGATGATGATGATGATGATGAGAAGGAGGAAGAGGAGGAGGAGGAGGAGGAGGAGGAGGAGGAGGAGGAGGAGGAGGAGGAGGAGGGGGAGGAGCAGGAGGAAAAGGAGGAAGAAGAGGAGGAAGAGGAGGAAAGGGAGGAGGAGGAAAAGGCGGAAAAGAAGGAGGAGAACGAAGTCGGGGAGGATGAGAAACGGGAGGGGGAGACGGAGGAGGAGTAGGAGGAGGAGGCGGCGGAGGAGGAGGAGAAAAAGGAGCAGGAGGAGATACCACCAGACCGAAACGAGTGCGCAGAGCAACAGCACAGACAAATAACGAGCAGGAAAAAGGACGAGCACGCGAATGATCTAAGACGAAGCCAAAAGCAGGCATCGTCCGTAGAAAGAAATGGACGGGGATCCCCCTCCACTCGCCCGAGATGGGTCCACCCGCCTCGAAGGACTTAAGATACGCGGAGTCCCTACTGGATGCAGTGCCCTCGGGCCCCGGAGCCGCGAGCGCGGGGCCGTCGGCTGGGCCCGCACGCCGCGCCGAAGGCAGAATGCAAGGGTGGCTCCAGCACGACGCATCTGATGTCCCCGCTACTAGGCCCTACAGGGCCTTGAGCGGGGAGGACTTGATATAGGGATGGCAGCATCGCGCGCGGCCCAAGACTCCCCCCGCCGTGGACCCCTAGAGGTCCGAGCCCCGCTTGCAGGGCGGAGGCCCACACGGGTTGCCAGGGGGAGAAGGCCCGCTGGGGCCAGCGGCGGGGGGCGGGCCAGGAGCCGAGGGGCCTTCGGGCGCGGCCCACCAGAGGACCAGTCCTCGATGACGTCCCCCCCCGCCCTGGTGCGCGAATGGGGGGCAGGGGGGGGGGGGCGCGGGCTCCTCGGCGCCTCGTGGGCGAGCGGCCTTGGCCAGTCCACCCACCACCTCCTCAAGGTCCGCGCGTCCCAGCGCTCCTCCTCCGTCGTGAACCGCGCCCGCGTTAACGCCAGAGCCCGCTCAAGGCTCTCGGTTGCCAGGGGCGGCCGGCGGCTCCTCCTCGCCGGCGGCGGCCTCAACGGGGCCAGCCGCCGCGCTGGCCTCGGATGGGCGGGCCCTCGGCCCCCGCAGACGCCCCCGAAACACGCGCATCCTCGGAACCAGACGCAGCGAGGGAAGCCTCAGGCGAAACGCCGTCCAGGCCCCAGAGGGCCACTGCCGCGGCAACCCTGCGCACTCCCCGCTTGAGCCTCGCAGCACCTTTGGTGGAGACCGCGAAGGCGGAACAACGCTCATAATGCCACTTTCGGCCCCCGCGCGTCGCGCTGTGCGGGAAGGCGAGGGCCTCGCCGTCAGGCCGCAGCGCCTGCGCTGGGACGCCGGCGCGAGTGGCGCCTGGCTGTCCCGCCCGCTGCTGCTCCCAGCGGCGGCGCAGGGGGCTCGCGCGGCGCCGTCGAAGACCATGCGGGGGGCTGTGCCGATCCAGGCCGCGACCTGGCGCACATGACTCAAGGCGTCGCTGTGCCTCTCCACGATGGCCTGAGGGGGGTCGTGGATGCGCCGTCCCCGCTTGGCCGCCACGTCCGCCACGTCCACCAGGTCGTTGTACCTCCGCCCCCAGATGTCGTCTCTGGGCTGACCCCTCACATGCGGTGCGTGAATCGGTGCCTCCGCGCCGCCATCCAGGGTCACACCGCCATGCTCACCGACATACTGGTAGATGCGCTTCCAGAGAACCGTCTTCCCACGCCGAGGAGAGGCGCGCCAGCGTCGCCCTCGCCGGAAGCCCTCCACGGTCGCAGCGCCAAGCCCCGCTATCATTGCGAGGGGGAAGGGCTAGCAACGCGAGAGTGCAGCCCACGAGAGTGCAGCATATGACCAGGCACCGTGTCGCGAGCAGCGGCCAATATGGCCCCCGCCACTGCGTGCCCACGCAGGTCATCGAATGTAGGACACGCCCAATACCTGTGATGCAACGTGCCACACAAACACCAAGGCATTTCCGACCATCCTCGTACTCGGCACGCTCAGAAATGGCCGCCAAATACTGCGGTGCCCAACGCCGCCCTCGTCGCGGGATCCAGCGCCCAGCGCTTGGCCTTCGGGCCAAGATTCAGTGTGCCTCTGATCTGTGCCTTGTGCGACGGGCGAG